CAGCCCAAAACACTGAAAAGCATGGTCATGTGACCATGGGATATTAAAATCAGTCATAAATGTGAGCCAGTTGCCAAGGTCCAGAAAGCAATAACTGTAGGGGGAGCACCACTTTGAGGACAGATCTTAAGTAGCTTTTTAAAAAGTTAAATGACCGGGTTGTAAATCAAGGAATACTTTATATTATTTTAAACATGTTTTTCATTACACTGTCATTATGAGTTTAAAAAATAATGTAACGTTGTATACAAACTTTAATATAGATATAAGAAAATACATTTTTTTTCTATTTCTCCTGTAGTTCAAGTAACAAATCACTCCCCCAAAATTGCTGTCTCTACAAATATTTTGAAGTAACCTTTATACTCTAACCTAGCAATAGAGCAATAAGTAATTCCTTTTACTCTCCTTTCTTGCTTTGCCCTTCCTTTTGTGTTTAAGGCTGATAATATCCTCTACTTCTGCTGAGGTCTAGTGATGATTCCTATTGGGGGAAACCAGACTCATTTTTAATGGACCACAGCTCCACAGCTTCAGCAGGGTGACAGCCTGAAAAGGTGTAAATGGGAGAAAAGACACATGCGTTTTTGCTGTGATGTATCTAACTTCCTCTAAATTCCAGCAGGGAAAGAGAATAGCAGCTATCTTAGCCCTGCATGCTTCGGGTGTCCCAGCTGGGCCTTCAGTCTTAAAAAGCAAAGAAAGCTTTTGTGGTCTATTGGAAGACTGGCCTGAGCACAAAGACTAAGCTTAGAATTGCCTAAGTTGCAGAATGAGTGAAACCAGGCCGGTAGGCAGAAACAGGATACAGATAAGCATGACAGAAACTCCCCCCACCTCCACTGTACTAATTAGGATAAACATCAGATGTCAGCAAAGAGCTACAGATAAGTCTAACTCTCTGCAAAAACCTAATGCCTGTCCACATTTTTGCTACTCTAATTTAGTAGCTCCAGGACTGATCTACTTTGTTAATGCTGCTCGATCTTTGCTTCCCAGAGATGAATTCCTATACACACTGCAATGGTAATAGACAGCAAAGGAATTGTGAAGTAACCAGTCTAATCAAGTTTCTTACCGATCAAGTGTAGGCAGCATCTGTATCATACACACACACACACACACACACACACACACACACACACACACAGTATGATACAAAATATTTGTGGCGAAGCACTCTGTTAGAATCTGATGCATTATTTTTAAGTTTAGAAACATGAACTATTCAACTGAAAATAACAACATAAAATTAGCTTCCTTGGGTTAAAAATAATTGTGATTTATCTTCTATTTATTTTCAAGATTTATAGGACTTCCCAGCTCAAATGATGTAATTCTGAGTGATGTACAGCATAAAAATAATAAATAAAAAGGGAACATATCATCATATACCAATAAGCACAATACATAAATACAAAATACAACATAGTGATTAGTACATGACAGAACAATCAAAGGGGGACTCTTACTTAATCGATCCCTAATGTCTGTGTTAGAGTTGAGCCTTAATGGCTTTCTTAAAAGTGAGAAGATTTGGGGCTAGTCATATGTTGGCCATGTCAAGAATGCTTACAACAGCAAAGAAAATCTCATAAACTACTCAGCTAACAGAGCACTGAGATATTTTAAATAAATGCATAATGCTCTTTTATTCATTCTTTCAACACGGAAAGAAAATATGGCACATTTGCTAGAAGGAACACAAACACTGCCAGAAATTGGAGGGTCCTTTAGTATTTTCAATTGGAAATGTTTGAATCAGTAAGTGAAATGTTTAAATGACTGCTACGGAGCCCTGCAGTTTAGTTATTTTTAACAGGAAAATTTTTCTACTTGAGTTTTATCAGTGTATGACAAACACCTTTCCTTTGAATACCATACTGGTACTTTCCCTCAGTTTTAAGTTCAGTAGAAAAAGGTTCAAGCAAGTTTTCCATTTTAAAGAGGTCTCTAATCAATGGTAGGGCACAAAAGGGAGCCCAGACATGTTTATGTGTACAATGCTCAGAACTAACAAAAGCTTTGGATAAATGTGTTGGCAAATCAATGTAACTTCACTGGTTACAAATGTTGTTTTTGTGGCATGAAACAAATGGGCATTTTAAACAAGTTAAGTCACAAAAGATCAGCCATAGCATGGAAAGGGATTCAATAAATATTCTGAATAAAAAAAAAGCCAGCTCTCTTGATGATAAACATCAGGATAATGCATTGGAAACAAAATGGCAGTAAACTTGTGCCAGAAGAGCAATTTGAAGATTAAGGTTAAAATTTTCAAAGTGCAGGTTATGATAAATTATTCATAAAAACAGCATTTCTGTTTGGCCCTGTAACTCAAGAGTTGGATGCTATTCTCTGCTGCAGTTCATCAGACTGTCAGTCAGTGAAGATGCTGGTGTTCAATCAATAATTTCAGCTGGAAGCATCCCCAAAACAGAAAAAAGCACAGCATGAAGGATCATGGAGCACAGGACCTACCACTCTGTGCAAATCTCCACCACCCCCTCCCTGTGTTAAGACTTACATAGTTCTTTGCCCTAGTTTAAGTGGCCACAAATGTCCTGGCAGGCAGTGGACTTGGAACTTCTTGCACAGGTGCTTGGAATTTTTCAGGTTGTGATAGGCAAATCTGGAAACTGACAACTTGATTTTGGGTATAATTTTCAAACTTGTTCTAATGGGCGCAAACATGGGCTCAAAACTGTTGGTTCTCTCCAGTGAATCATAAGAGTATGGCAAAAACTTTGTTCACATTCAATGAAACAATACAACATCATGGACACACACACACACACACACACACTACATCAATTGCATTTTCAGCTATCAAAGTAATGTCATCAGAATAACAGAGATTTATTGATGGGTTGGGGTTTTTTGCCTTAAAACAATGCCTTGCTGGAGCTAAGGGACCACCTGCAAACTACTCAGTAAGAAAAAAAGTTTTTGTCCTCTCCAGCCCCCAGGAACACTCTGCAGGTTTTAGCAGGCCTAGGGGAAGAAAAAAATGCCCCCGTTTTTGCAAAAATGGAGGCATTTTTCTCTTCTCCCAGCCCTGCTGAAGCCTGCAGAGTTCTTCTGGAGGCTGGGAGAAGGGAAAAACGCCACTGCCTACCCCTCACTCAACCTGCTGCTCAACCTCCCTCCTGCCTTCACCCAAAGCTTTGTGCCACACCAGGAGGCTGAAGTTGAAATTTCTTCCCCCCCACCTTCCCCCTGTTGTGTACATTGACAACAGGACTGCTTCTCTCTGCCTCCTTTTCCAGCCAAAAAACATGCTGGCAACGGCAGTGGCGACTGAGGGAACCGGTTCGGGGGCATGGCCAGGCTGCTATTACTACTGGTTCGGAAAGGTACGCCAGATTTTTACTACCTATTCGGGTGAACTCTGGCTGTGTGTCAATAAAGTTCAGAACTTCAAAGAAATATCTGATGTTTTCTCTGGAAATAGTGGATGCATGTTCAAGATGATATCATGGAAACTGGTTGACCTTCTTCTTCTTTAGCTTAATTTAGAACTTGCACATCAAAAAAATCAATTCATTATCTCTTTTACAGTCAGCCCTATCATATTTTCACTGTTATAAATGAGCTATTTCATCTCCTTCTATCAATAATGTAGCCAATTTGACTTCTGTGTACTCCTTCTGGTGTTATTTATAGTATTCATTTTTGTTGTTGGAAAACTGCATTGGCAATGACAAAAATCATTAGATTGTCAGAAACTGTTGTTCTACTTCATTTCCACTTCTTAGGCAATACAGTCAAACTACATTTTCTTCTTAATGTTTCCAACTTTGGCATTCCAATATCCAATCACAAGCATCACATCTTGCTTCCATTTTCTGCTGATTTGAAACTGAACTCGATCATCAAACTCGTAAGCTTCCTTTTCATTTGCATCAGTAGTTGAAGCATACACTTATCCATGAAATCTAATCAATATTTGATCACTGATTGCAATGTAGCCAAGTACTGTTCTCGCTGTACTCTTTTTAACTATAAAAGCAACATTGTCCCTTCTTTGTTTTTAAAGACTTGAGTAGTAAACAATGCAATCTTCTGATTGAAAATATCCAATCCTTAATACTCCAAGCTCTTCCCTAGTAGCATGTTGAGTGTTATCTGACATGAGCAGCACTGCCCTAACAGTGATTTGATATTTCCTATCCATATGATTTTCTTGATAAAATAAAGCTGTGGTTTACCACTGCCTTCACCCACACACTGTCTTCGCTTCTGTCACTAAAGTGATCTTTTGCCTCTAGCATCTTCCTATATTGTTGCTGTCCAATATAGGTACCATTTCCTCTGCCTGGGCTTTTTGGATTACCCTGAGTAACCCTGCTGAGATTTTGTATTTTTGTCATATACTTGCAGGTTTCATCGCTCATCCTGCCCATGCACACACCCTCCACTCCACAATGAGACAGTACAGCAAGACCATGATAATTTACTATGGTATTAAAAAGCCTTATTCAGAAAAGATTATTCCTGGTGTGTTTGAAATTTGACAAAATACAATGCTGGCACTTTTTGAGAAGAGAAAAGCAAGAATATTCATTTCCAGCCTGTTAGCCCCATTCCTAGTTTTTAAAAAGAAAATAAATGTAATGGCCTATATTCAAAATCATAACAATACTTCCTTACTTTGAAAACTATGGGAACTCTTGTTTGAAAATGAGCTGACATTTTTATCCCACAGAGACTACATTCTAAGTCAGATATTTATAAATAATGTTTCCTAAAATCTAGATTTTAAAATGCCATAAACCATCTACAAAGAACTTCTGATACAGGGTGTTTTCAGAACAGTAAGGTCTTTTTTAAAATAATCTTATAGACAATCTTTTTAAATTTACTCTTCCCTTGGGAAATTGTTCTTGCTGAGAAAAGTTTACATAGAATTTCCAGGTTCTAATAGGCAGATTAACAAATTTTGCTCTTCTCTTCTTTTATTTTGTTATGCTCCACAGTTATTATTTTTCAACACAAACCTCGATCCTGGGGCATTGGGGATTGGCTCAAGGCAGGATGGGAGCTAGATTCTGATTGGGTACCAGGAGTCTGTGATGGCATCTGGCTACCTGCAATATACACAGAGACAAAAAATAAATGACTTATTCCTAACAAGGAAAAAGAGGTAATAAAAATCATACAGGTATTCTAAAAAGTGGTACAATGACTGTGCTAGATACAGTGAAAAATGTAATATCTATTTCAAATATACATTTTTCTTTTATATAATCCATGGAAACATGCACAACATATTTAATAAAAAAGCATCCTGAAATGCTTTATTTTGTACCGAGCCTGTTTTCAAACTTATTGACATAATTCAGTTTATAGCTCTTGAAATATATATTTTAGGAAGGAATTTACAAAATCCAAGGCGGCTGAACAGTGGGATTCATCCTATTAGCTTGCACTGGCTTACAGCCAGGAAAACATGGACAGCTGCCAACCTTAGAACCAAAGATAAATTCTATCTATGTTGTTTGGGGAAAAAAATCCACTGAATCAATGGATTTAATGTTGGTGCCAAGATATAACACAGTAATAAACCAATACATATCTAAAGCCTGTGGTGTGCACTTTGTTATCCAAATAAGAGCTTTGTTCATAATTTACATCTGGTAAAAAAAACAAAACTAGCATGCAAATTGGAATAGGACCGAATCCAAGTCAGTGTTTAACCAAAGGGAACATGACTTCATAAATAGCAACACAAGCAGATTTACATCTTGACCTGAATATCTGCATAGCTGTGGGCAAAGTGCAGACAGAAAGCTTGGTTCAGCATCGTTGTATCTATGAGGCGATTTGGGTTTGCCTTCTTTTCTCCTCTTTTGTTTCCCCCTCTTACAATAGTCACCTAGGGAGGGATGGAGAATCCAGATCAGGGTTTTGTTTTTATATTTTTACTGTACTGTTTTCCTATTGAAAATCACTCCTGAACTGCTTCACTCCTGTGGGTTGGCTCCTACCACCAATGTAATCAACCCTTTGGTTGGAATGAAGCCTGCATCTACCTATAGCTCCTTGCTTGACTTCCAAATCTGTTCTGGAAAACTGGGAGAACTTTGAAAGCAGGTTTAGGAGTTATGTGGAGGGGAGTTGGAAGGGAAAATCTTGCCAATTAGAAGACTGCTAGAGCAGTGAATGATTATTTAACACAATAAGGAAAATAGCTCGCCCAACTATGCTGCCCCCCAGATGTGATCAGAATATGACTTGTTACATAATTATTAACAAAGCCCGTCATAAACTGCTGGCAAGAGGAGTGACTGCTTTAATAAGATATTCCAAAGCAACTGTACTGTACTACCCCACTGTACATATTGTTAATGAGTCTTTAAATTGATATGCAGGTTTCAAAAATACAAATACCCTTTGTTTGGAGTGGCTGATAATAATCAAAATCAAGGCAAGCATGAAGGGAAAATTTAATCACATCCACCATTGCTAGGTCCTAAAGAAAATCCCTCTTGTAAAGGTCCTATTTCTATTAAAAGGCAATCACTTGCCAGTCATCCCAACCACATTTACAGTCAGGGCCCACAGCAATGGAGGAAATTTATTTATTGATTGTTGATTTTATATCCTGTATTTCACTTTATATACCAAGGTGATTTATAGCAACCAAAAATGTAAATAATAGACATACAAGTAAAAAACAATACAATTACAATCAAGGTAAAATGAAAACCAGCACCATTAAAATAGAAATAAATTCAAATAACAATTATTTGGTTAAAAAAAAGGAATCCTTATTTCCCTAAAATTGGGGAGGGGGGGAGGCGCAAGAGAAATCCCTTTCCTATACAGGCAGCAAAGGGATTTTTAAACAATCTTTTCCTAATGACCTAAATCATGGCTGAGCAATCTTTTGGCTTGCCTGGGCCAAACTGAGTGAAGAAGAATCGTCTTGGACCTCATACAAATATATATAATATAGTTAATATACATAGATAACAAACTTCCTTTATTTTCCATATTTCTTATTATTTTGCGGGACCAGCTGCAAAAGATTTTGCAAAGTTTTCTGCAAACTAACTTTCCCTTTCAGTAAATCTATTTGATATGATTCTGAGAATTTGTTTTCCAGGTTGTGAAGAGCAACTATGGACTTAACAGCAGGCCATCTATATTAATGTTACAACACATTTAAATGATTCAATAAGCAGGCATTGTAATCTGTAAACTATAAACAGTTCATGTTAAGAACCAACTTAGATGCAAATGTATTGTGTCACACTCTGATTATCAATTCACTATGGAATGTATTCCTTTAAAAATAAAAGTATTGATTTGAAAGCTGAGGCTCTTATGAATGTAACAAACATTTCAATATAACACCTCCTGATGGTGACCAAACAACTAGGTTTTTGCAAGTTTATTTTAACATGAAAATATATTTCTCTGAAGAGTGAAAGCCTGCTGGTTCTGTAAAATGCTGAGAAAAACTTGAATCTAAATACATGCTACCAGCAATATAACATTTTGCTCTTAACATTCTGAATTCTATATTTCTTCTTGAATTCTTTTTAGTGGTTCTTATTTGGGATGAATTACTAAACTAATAAACTAATAATAATAAACAAGGTGGCCACAAATAATATAATCTGTATTATATATTTTGTTCAATTTGGTTAAATTGAATTTTAGGAAATCTTTCTGGGATACTAGGAATGAATTAGTTAACATCTCATTCCATACATCTGTATATAGTTTAAATAGCTATTAAAATAGAACTGCAGTAGCATGGGAAAATACTCTCAGTTATCTCATCACAGGCTACATTACTTAGACAAATATAGATTTAGTAAAAATACCATTTAACGGACCTTTGTTGACTGGACTTCAGATACATTGAAAACATTTTTGATTTATCTGTTAAATAATATTTACATCATTTATGTAAATACCACAATACATTGATGCAAATAATTTGAATATAATAGATGCTCCATCAGCCTGAGTACTACATTAAATCAAGATATGAGGGTTTTTGGAAACTAGTGTCAAACTCTTGGCAGCCCACAACAGAAAGAAATATTCTTCGTAGCTTTGTTAAAACAAGAATAGATTCAAGTTACAGAAATCTTAGCAACTGGATAATTTTCACTTTCACAACCTGATATATTCTTAAGACATATTTTCCAATCTTTTCCTAAGGGCCTCTATATGAAATGATAGGAGGTGATTTTCTTATCCGTTAAGAGTACAATGTTCAGCGGACCTGGGAAGTGAACCCTCTCAGGCTGTGAAACTATCATTACACCATAACTGTGAACAACATAGTTCAAATGGTAGATAAAGTTAATCATTCAAAGCATTTCCAAAGGCAAGTCATAAAGTCAATTGCAGAATTTTCATATCCTTCCCCCTCCCCCCCCATAAGCAAAGAATATGAAATATTTCTTTCTGTAAATCTCATGTGAAGTTTCTCCTAGCCCAAAACATGATAATCAGATGTTCTCAATTGATATTGTGAGATCGGGGCCAAGGATAAATAGTTGTAAAGGCCTTTTTCTCTTTCCATACGTTACATGATGCATCATTTACAAAAAATAATAATCAACCAATTGTTTACACAATTGAATTTCAAGGAGAACTGTTAGAATGATATAGAAGAAGAGATCTATAACTAGAAAATAGCTGAAAAGTATTTTTGGCAATTATTGGCAATTTGGACAGAAACTATTCGAACCAAAAACCTTAGTGAACAAGATGTGTCAAGAATTCTAATGAATGATATAGCCCAACATTATGAGGTAGTTTTGAATATATTGCTTATATGAATAGGATAAGTAACTTGTTGGTCTTTAAGGTATCAATCAATCATATTTACAAAGCTACCTCTTTGGAACCTATCACAGATTTACTGAAAATAGGCACAGCAAAATTATTCAAATACTTTTTAAAAATTGACCTATGTGCTTACAATATATACAAGCTAGACTGTATAAAGGTACTTCAGATTTATGTTGGAAATGCAGAAAACATAAAAGGTCATTGTTTTTATATATGACAACTGCTGCATGATGATTATATGCACAAAAATGGAAAGACTCTGAAATACTCACAACTGAGGAATGGCTGGTAAAGAAGTCAGCAGAGACTGCAAAATTGACTTGTTTTATTAGAGAAAGGATAATAACTACATTTGTTAGTTACTGTTAGTTTTCTTGTTACTGCTGTAACAAGAAAAAATGAACTTGTGATTTATAGGTTTGATGATTAGAAATGGTAGATTATAGAACTTCCTGTGGTGACGTCACCGTGCTTAGAGTGGAGGGAAGGAAGCTCTCCTAACCTCTAACTCTAACTTCTTCGTTTGGGCTCTTTTTTGAGCACTGTTGATCCTGAAGGGACCAACAGATTAAAGGGGATACTCTGTAGACGCTGGGGTGATAAGGCAAATCCTCCTGCGGATAGGAGAGACCCTCTAAACAGACGAGGGGCTATCCTGCCTTTTGGTTAGGACCGGAGCGATGGCGACCGCATAAGAAGGGAGCGAATAGACAGAGAAGCAGTGGAAATCAGAATACTTGTTACTATTGCTGACAACCCAAAGAGGAAGGCAACACGAAACTGGCAGAGTGGGTGAGCTGGAAAGAAGAAGACGCCGGGAGAGAGGCTGTTTTTGCAGCTCAATTTTGCTGAAAAGAACTGG